TTATGTTAGATTTATTTCACTGTCTTTCCTTTTCCTATTCCCCCTCCCTTCCCTTCATTCTCTCTATCTAATGTACTGAATTTTTGTTTTCTCCCCTCCTTATTGTGGATTAGCTTCCACACATCAGCATATCCTTTTTGGGACTGGCTTATTTCACTTAACATGATAGTCTCCAGATCTGTTCATTTACTGGCAAATGTCATAAAGTCATTCTTCTTAATGTCTGAGTAGTACTCCACTGTGTATATATACATCACATTTTCTTTAGCCATTCATCTGTTGAAGGGCACCTAGGTTAGTTCCATAGCTTAGCTATTGTGAATTGAGCTGCTGTAAACATTGATGTGGTTGCATCACTGTTGTATCCCAGCCCTTTTTATTTTTTATTTTGAGACAGGGTCTTGCTAAGGTGCTTAGGGTAGGGCCTTGTTAAATGGCTGAATCTGGCCTCAAATTTGTGATCCTCCTGCTTCAGTCTCCGGAGTTGCTGGATTACAGGTTTGCACCACCATACTCAGCAATCACAAGATTTTTTAAAAATTCCGTATTTTTGTTTCTACTATTAACTTGTACTTTTAAGCTTATTCTTTCAGTTGTTGCTGTATTATGACACAAATTTGTAACTTTTTTTCCCCAAATTTAAATACTTTTAAGACATTGCATTTTCCACTTACAATACACTGTTTATAAAGTTTAATGTTATTTCCTTTCCCTGAGTACACACATATTCCATATTCAAGTATTGAGAATGCCCATTGATTTACTACAGCAGCAATTTGAAAACTGCCATAGCATTTGCTACAAATTTGGGCCCTTCCCTGTTTTACTGTGGAACAAAGTACAGCACTTGGGCTGACTTATTCAACCTCTTCCACGGTGAGCCCAGGGGGAGCACCACCAGGGAATCCCCTGGCATTCCTCCTGCCTTGCCTCCTGTACTCTGTACAGCTTGGTAATGGTGGGGTCGCAGGCCTTCTCCAGTTCTTTCTGCTAATGTTCAAGTTCTTCCTTCTCTGCAGTCGGATTCTTATCCAGCCTGTTGATGATTTCATTACATTTGTCAAGAATCTTCTGTTTGTCCTCACCATTTATCTTGCCTTGAAGTCGCTCATCTCCAACAGTTGCTTTCATGTTGAATGCATAGGACTCCATGAATTCTTGGATGACACCTTGTCCCTGTGCTTTTCATCTTTAGCTTTGTACTTTGCAGCTTCCTGGACCATGTGCTCAATGTCCTCCTTGCTCAAGCAGCCTTTGTCATTAGTGATGGTAATCTCGTTCTCTTTTTGTGTACCCTTGTCTACGGCAGAGACATTGGGGATGCCATTGGCATCAATGTCAAAAGTGACTTCAATCTGAGGATCATCCTGGGTGCAGGAGGTATGCCTGTGAGTTCAACTGCCAAGCAGGTTGTTATCCCTTGTCCGGGCGCACTCACCTTCATGACTGAATGAGCACACCAGCCTGATGTTGAGGGTAGGTCATGAAGGTCCGTGTCTGCCTGGTAGGAAGGGGGGTATTATACTTGATGAAGACAGTCATAGCTCCACCAGCAGTTTCAATGGAAAGAGAGGAGTGATGTCCAGGTAAAATGGCTGCCTGGACAGCTGCACCATAAGCAAGAGCCTCATCAAGGTTGATGCCTTTATTCAGTTCTTTTCCACTGACGACGTCTTGTGGAAACTTCTGAATCTTAGGGATATGAGTAGAACCACCCACCAGTACAGTATCATGGATGTGTGACTTGTCTAGTTCAGCATCTCAAAGACCTTTTTCTGTAGGATCAAGGGTTGCCACGGATCAGGTCAGCATTCAACTCTTCAAATTGAGCATGATTAATGGAGGTATAGAGACGATTCCTTCTTAGAATCCATCTCAGTACTGGCCTCAGTGCTGGAAGAGAGGCTATGCTTAACTCTTTCACTTGCTGTACGGTGACTTTGGACAGCTCTTTTGTTCTTACTGATGTCCTTCTTATGCTTGCCCTTGAACTCAGCAATAAAATGACTGACCATGTGGTTGTCAGAGTCTTCTCCACCTAAGTGTGTCTCCAGCTGTGAATTTGACCTCAAAGATTCCATCCTCAATCTGAGGATTGACACATGGAAAGTATCACCTTCTAAATAAAAAGAGCTCCAGTCTTTTTGTCTAAACCATGAGCAATAGCAGCGGCAGTTACCTCATTGATTACCCTAAGTACACTAGACTGGTGACGGTTCCAGCATCTTTGGTTGTGTGACACTGAGAGGCATCGAAGTGAGCTGGCACTGTGACCACAGCACTGGTAACAGTCTTCCCAAAGTAGGCCTCTGCAGTTTCCTTCAGCTTTGTCAGAACCACAGAAGACACCTACTCTGGATAGAAACTCTTTTTCTCTCCTTGTTGTTCTACTTGGACTTTGGGCCTTCCTACATCATTCACCACCATAAAGGGCCAGTGCTTCATATCAGAATGGACAACAGCATCGTCAGATCTCCATCCTACCAGACGTTTGGCATCAAAAACCATATTGATGGGGTTCATTGCAACCTGATTCTTCGCAGCATCACTGACCAATCCTTCTGAGTCAGTGAAGGCGACACAGCTTGGGGTAGTTTGGCTCCCCTGACCATTGACAGTTATCTCCACTTTTCCATGCTGGAAGACAGCCACACAAAAATAGGTGGTGCCAAGATCAAAGTCGGCTGCAGGTTCCTTAGACGTGGTACCAAATGTGTAGGCCAGAATCTACTTGCAAAGAAACCACGCAAATCTTTCTTAAATTTTTAGGTATTTTACTGTAATATGACACATTGAAACTTGTGGACTTTTTTGTATTTTTTGTGTCATGAATCTATGGCTAGAGTCGGCTATGGATTTTGGAAAATCCTCGGAGTTCTAAACCTTTTTAATGTATCCATTATGTCTCTTTATTTTCTTATTTTCCCCTCTTAAAACTCAGACATTTTTTACTGATCTCTCAGATCACTAATTCTTTTTTCTTCAGTAATTAATCTTATGTTAAGTCTATTTAATGTCTTCATTGGTTATTTTTCAGTTCTAGAATTTTTAATGAGTTCCAGTTCTCTGTTAAAATCCTCACTCTTGTCTTCTAGTTCCTTGACATATCAGTCAGTATTTATTAATATTTTAAGCCTGTATTTTATTATCTGGAATTTTTTGACCTCTTAGGTCAAGTTCTAATCTGTTTTGTTTTGGTTTTCTTTAGTATATTGGACATCTTTCTAATATAAACTATGAGAAAGCAATTCTGATTGAGTGGATCATTTGGTCCTGCCTCCTCTACATTATGAATAAACCTTATAGAGGCTAAAGATGATGTTCTCTCTCGTGGGAGGCTATATTGCATTTCTTTTGGCAAGCTGCAAGAAGGTGGTATCCATCACCTTGACCCAGTCTGGGATGAGGATGATTCTGGACTTTCAGTGCTGTAAAGACTGCTCCCTTCCAGTTTTGGCTTTGTACTGAGCCTACACCTGAAGAAGACTGCTGGAGGCAGAGTATTCTCCAGGGCTCCTCTTTCTTGGTGGACCCATCTCCAGGTTTTTGGTATCTTTTCAGCACTGCTGGGCTAGCGTGGCTTTGCTTAGCCTTTTTAGTTCTTCATAGCTGCTTCCTGCTTCCCTACTAGAATGCCTGGAGAGGAAAGTTGTGAAGGTGTTCAGCTCATTTCGTTGCTTATACCTTCTCTCCAGGATCTTAACTCTTTAATTCTTTCTTTTTTTGAATTTTTATTTTTTTTCTTAGTTGCTCTCTGATGCCTTTAAAAAGCTGGACTTTTGGTTTTCTGATGTGGTAATTTTTGGGGAGAAGGTTGGTCTGGTATTAGCTGCTGTTCCATCTTAGCAAAATTGAGTCTCTTAACCTTTCTTTTCTGTTTTCATCTGGTATGGAGCAGATGGAAAGTTTAATGAGACAGTGTGACTAAAGACTTTGGCACAGTATTCTGCATGTGCTTCATTCTTTTCATGTCAGTGAAAAGAATTTTAAAGCAAGGAATAATTTCCTACCTTGCTTGCCCTAATGCCCATAGACAGAGGCTTGTTTACCGAAAAATAGCCTAAAAGGTTAAGTTTATGTAGCAGAAGTGTAACTGCCTTCTCTTTTAGCATAAGAAATAAATCAGAGGTATTAAGACAAATATTTTTGCTGTTTTCTATTGATTTTAGTTTTTGCTGATGGAGGTATGTCTTAAAATATATTTTTAGAGGTTATTAATGAATCTTGATAGAAACATCGCAATATAAGTTGAAAATTTGAACTTATTTACACTAAGGTGCTATTTGTTTCTATCCCAATGCTTCATAAAGAATTGACATACTGCTGTTCTAAACTATCTCAGTTTACTCATCCATAAAATGGCAGTAATTGTATTACCTATCTCAAAGGATTGTTAAAAGGATAAATATTGTATATTGTTCCTCTCTGGACACTGTACCTTAAACTGGGCAGTTTAAACAACAGAAGTTTATTTTCTCACAATTCTGGAGTCCGGAAAGTCCAGGATCAAGGTTCTGGACAGTTTTCTGGTGAGGGCTTTCTGCCTGGCTTGCAGATGGCTGCCTTTTTGCTGTTTGCTCACACGGTCTTTCAGTCTTTCCATCATTCTTGGGCGCAGATGTTAGGAATCTCTCTCTTCCTCTTCTAAGACAATCAGTCCTATTGGATTAAGGCTTCACCCTTATGACCTGATTTGCCCTTAAATTCTTCCTTAAAGGCTCATGTCCAGATAAAATCACACCAGGGGCTAGAGCTTTAATATGTGAATTTTGGGGGACCACAGTTCAGTCCTTGGCAAACTGATACAGATGCTCTGTGACTTAGGATGGGGCTAGGTCCCAGTAAACCCATCATATAGTAGAAAAGTTGTATAATTGAACCACTATAAGCCAGGGACCTTCTGTACATAACAGTACTTAAAATAGTTACCTGCCACATTGTAGTTAAATTGTGTGATTCTAAACATTTCCCCCCCCCCCCCTTTTTTTTTTCTTTTCTAGGTGCTGATTTTGGATTATGTTCTAGAACATCAAGAATAGTGATTTCTACTTGTCAGGACTGCAAACTCAGAAGCTGCAGAGAATCCTATGTAAATAAACTGTGATCTCTTTTGCTGCCCTTTTACATTAGGAGACCCCTTTATTTCACCACATCCGAGGAGTATATATATAACTAGCACAGTCATTATGAATGTGACAAGTTTGTTTTCCTTCACAAGTCCAGCTGTGAAGAGACTTCTCGGGTGGAAACAGGGTGATGAAGAAGAAAAATGGGCAGAGAAGGCTGTTGATGCGCTGGTGAAAAAACTGAAGAAGAAGAAGGGTGCCATGGAGGAGCTGGAGAAGGCCCTGAGCTGTCCCGGGCAGCCCAGTAACTGTGTCACCATCCCCCGCTCTCTGGACGGCAGGCTGCAGGTCTCCCACCGGAAGGGACTGCCTCACGTCATTTACTGCCGCGTGTGGCGCTGGCCTGATCTTCAGAGCCACCATGAACTGAAGCCACTGGAATGCTGTGAGTTCCCTTTTGGCTCCAAGCAGAAGGAAGTCTGCATCAATCCCTACCACTATAAGCGAGTAGAAAGCCCCGGTGAGTGAGTCTCTCTGTGTTGATTGCTTTCTGCCAAGCAGCAGATTCATGCTCTCTGAAACCACAGAATTTCTGTCTTCGGTTTTAATTCCAAAGTATTTGGGGAATTTTTGTGTGTGTGTGTGTGTGTGTGTGTGAGAGAGAGAGAGAGAGAGAGAGAGAGAGAAAGAACATGAGCCCATGTGTTAGTTAGCTCTCTCACACTGGAACGAAGACCTGAGATAATCAACTCGTGAGGAGAAAAGATCTATTTGAGCCACAGTTTTGGAGGTTTCAGTCCATGGTCACGTGGATCTGTTGCAAGGCAGCACGTCATGGTGTGGAGTGCATGGTAGAGCAAAGCTCATCTCAAAGAGTAAGAGGAGCTGGGGTTCCTCTCTGCCCTTCAAGGGCATGCCCCTGATGACTGGAAGACCTCCAGTAGGCCTGACCTCTTAAAGGTCCCACCATCTACCACAATGCCACTCTGGGGAACAAGCTTTTAACATGTGGTCTTTGGGAGTATAATCCAAATCCAAACCATAGCAGCCCATAAGTATTTCATACATTTTAACAGCTTAGACCTCTTAAATTAGCTTTATTTCTTAGAAACAGGCTATGAAAATTGTCATTGCAATACCAGTACCTCTAATTTTTAGTAAATGCATTTCTGAATTTGTTTTCTTGTTTCACTTTGGTTCTGTACATTTGTATGGGCAGATTTAGCTATGAAAAAATATATTGCAAGGGAAGAAAATCAGGAAAGAACATGCTATTGCTTGCCATACGTCCACGAGCCATCACGAGGCCATTGTGACTTTTACTACTTTGTCTTTAAGAATAGCACTTATCATCATCTCCTAGTGGAGGATGTAAAAAGAATTATGCTGTGAAATAATTTGATACAATTATAAGATACTCCTAGTTTTTACACATATGACCTTTTTGGAGGTAAAGAATACACAACTGACTTTCCACGTCTGTGAATTCTGCATTCATATATAGAACCAGCTGGGGATTGAAAATACTTAGAAAAATATGACATCTGTACTGAACACGTACAGATTATTTTCTTCCCATTATCTCTAAACAATAGAGTAGAACAACTATCTCCATATCATTTACATTGTTTTACTTATTATAGGTAATTCAAAGATGATTTAAAGTGTGGAGGAGGATCTATGTAAGTTATACTTAAATCCTGCACCATTTTACATAAGGAACTTGCGCATCCACAGATTATGGAGTCTAGGAGAGTCCTGGAATCAGTGTCATGGACACATGACTCTTTTTAAATTATAGTTTTGCCCTCAAGTTAGAATCCATATTCTGGACAGTTGGGTCAATCAAAAGAGATTTGATATTGAAGCATTTAAGTATCTCATTGTCAGATTGGGACCAGTTTTGTTGATGGAATGGCTATTAATAGCTAATGGTAATGAAGGGTTCCCAAAGGTAGATGTGCATTAGAATCGGTTTCCCCTCCCAGAAATCCTGACCCTGGGATAGCCTGGTAATCTGTTTAACAATTACTTTGGGTCTTGCTGACAAAGCCATTGGATTGGTATTTGGGAACTGCTGAGCCAAATCATATGATAACATGGTTTTCAAATAAAAGGCGTTCAAAAAATATTTTTTTAAAAAAGACATACAAAATGTATTTAAAGACTAGGGAATAACTTATAAACTCCTTTGTATTCACTACCCAGTTTAATAACAGACTACACACAACTGAAACCCTTGTCTTTGTTTCTCTGACCACTGTTTTGAATTTGATGTTTATCATTCCTGTGCATATTTTTTACTGTTATTATATATGTATGAATCCATGACATTACATACTGTTGTCTTGTATACTTTAGAATATTATATAGAATGCTATATAATATTAGCATTTCCTTTTGCAACAAGTTGTTGTATTCATTCAACAGTATGTTTGTGATTCTAGATAATACATTTTAGAATTACCTTGTCTAGTTCTATGAAGAACCCTCTGGGTATTTATTGAAATGTCATTGCTATCATCTGAGGAGGATTGACATAATTATGCTCTGGAACATAATATTTTAAAATTTTTCTTCACATCTTTTCATAGACGTGTTTCTAGATGACTGTTTTTATTATATCTTTAAAAGCTACATTGTTAAATTTGTTCTGTGCTAAGAAGGCAGCTGCTTTTTTTCAGACAACCTTGCCATATTCTATTAGTTCGAATTTAGACATTCTTTACTGCTTGTTATAACAGAGATGCTAGGATTTTTAAAAATTACAAAGATTAACATAGAGGCACACAGTCCTCTTTAGCCAGGAATTAAAATGGAGCTAAGAGTTTTGGAGAACGAAAAGCAGGATCTAAGTAAGATGTACAAACAAGATGTTTGGGTCGCTGGTGACTTTCAGGGTTACAGAGGGAAGATTTTAATATGCACAAACAGTGAAACTGAGACCCTCATAGATTAAGCAACCTGTGTGCCAGACATCTGGGAAGGAGAGGTGATATGACATGAAAAGTATTCTGAAGCCCGGATCCACTACTAGAAAACACTGGGTGTGGGCCCCACCGGTGCCTCCCTCCTGCTGGTCACCCTTCAGCTCCCTGTGCTCTAGGGAAAGTGGTCTTTTGGAATGCAGGTAGGATCCATCCACTCACCTTCCGCTCCCAGTGCTGGCAGTCTTGCTGGAGCTCTGCACAGGGGTCCTGCCTCCCTTCCCAGCTTCCTTTCCTGCTTTTCTAGTTTGTACCCTGTGCTCTGTGGGGACACCTGGTGCTCTTTTCCTCTGCCTTTATGCCTTCCTCCTCCCTCTCTGCTCAGCTCACTCTGTCCTTGGTGTCTGAGCTTAATGAACGTCGGTTTCTTGGGGCAGCCTCCTAATTCCTTCTTCTCTGCCACCAGATAGATTATGCCTGTGTCACAGTAACCTGGGTTTCCCCTAGTGCTCTTCTCTGCCGTGGTCATCCTTGGGCTTCTCTACAAGACAGTGATTAAAGCCCTGTGAGGGCAGAGGTATTGGCTTCAGTGAATCTTTGCTGTAAAATGAAAACGCTGGTTCTAACTTATCAGTATGGTCATCTTTTCAGAGATGAGTTTTCAGTTTGTCTATATGGTTTTACCATCCACTGTCCTTCGTTGGTCATTTCATTGTTGATGTAAGATAAAAAGTAAAACCGATACTGAAATCATTTTGTTACTCTTAGTAATTTGCATGCTTTAATAAAAGGTTTGATAAGGAAGAGGTGGGAAACTGGCTAAATAGGTGTTTTGAGACTCCACAGATGTCATTTCAGCCTCTCTTTACCTAAAGTGTTGTGAGCCATGCACAGAACAGTTCTAGAAGAGTTTTGAGGCTGAGGCTAAGATCTATTCAATTTGTGAAAATACCAGGATTTTACTTATTTGTCATTGTGGAGTCCCCGGTGTGAAACTTGGAACAGATGGCTTTTTTCCAGAGACTGCTGTGGAGCAACCCCTATACCTGGTGGTTAGAAGCCAGGCTAGGTCCACCCCTTCCTCCCAGAGTTGAATAGGCATTTTCTCCCTGTAGAGCCACCTGAAGTACACCTAGGTATTGTTTTTGTGAAACAGGAAAAAGGGGTCTGGAATTCTAAACTGCAAATACTCAGCTCCACTCTGAAATTACTTGAATACCTCAGATGAAGCATTTTGAAGAGTAGTATAGCAGTTCAAGCATAAGATAGTTAACTTAGTCTCTCAAAGTTGTTTTCCAGAGAGTTCCTAGTAACTCTTGAGAAAATCCCAACAGAAATCTTGAGTATCTAGAAAGTTTAGAAATTTTCAAATTGTGGTCTGCTTACAGGTAGCATTAGCATCACCTTAGAATTTGTTAAAAATGCAAAAATTTTCAATTAGTAAATAATTGTTTGTAGGGTACACTGCCATGTTTCCACATAAGTATATTGTGGAATAATCAAGTCCTAATTAACATATCCATCACTTCCTATTATTCTCTCTTTTTTTTTTTTTTTTTTTTTTTTTTTTTAAAATCCACTTCATTAGCAACTTTGAAATGTACATTATTAATTGAGGTCACTGTGCTGTGCGGGTGATCACAGAACTGTTCTTCCTGTCCAAGGGAAACTCTGTTCTGAACCTGGCCCCTCCTGCGCCTCTGATACCCTCTGCTACTTTCTCGCTCCATGAGTTCAACTTTTTTAGATTAGATCGTGCAGGACAGTTGTGCTGTGATTCTGATGTTCCTGGCTAAGTGTCCAGGCAAGGCGACAGGCCCAACTGTCTGGGCAAGGTGGTCCAATACTGAAAAGAGATACTAGTGATTTGGCCATGCAGCATTTTGAATTTTGCATGTTCTGAGACAAATATAAAATTGACTTGTTTTTCTAGATTTTTCCTTGTGTTAGTGTTCATTAAGATTAGCATGCCGATGTTATAAGGTAACTTCAGGTGAGTAGGAAAGTGGGGGAGAGAGACTTGCTTTCTTTATTTGGCTGAAATGCAAGTTTTGTCATTGTTCTTTTGGGTATCTTTTGCCCTCAGTTTTTTTTACCAAAAATAATCATGTTGATTTAAGCTCCTGTAGTTTTTCCTCAACCTATGCCATTTATTTTATTACAAATAAAATAGCATAAAAATAGTCATGGGGAAAAACTGAGTTATGGAAACATTTTGCAGAGGCTGGGATTCATTGCTGTTAATAACAGTGGCAGAGCATGAGAGGTGGTTGAAAGGTGCCACTTTGACCATCACTGACAAATGCATTTTGGGGAAGTAGAAAATGTTAGGCATTTTGTTTTCTGCATATGTGTGGATACTTAGAGGAAACAGAAAGTTCCAGGAGCAAATGAAGACTGACCCTGCTATGGTGTGGCAGGTGGCTTTGTGCTTGGACTTTTACTAGCCTTGGGGACCAAGGCTGCTTATTAGTGGTTGAATTAAGTGGAGGTTTTTCTTTTTCTTTACCAAAGTAAATGCCAGTGGTGGTTAGGTCAGTCATCTGACTGTGGTAATAGAAGGCCATCCTGTTGCTATCTACTGCTATTAAAG